CTTGCAGCTCATCACATCAGCGGGATTTGTAACGTGGAATCCGATGCCCTGTCCCGGCAGCCGCTGCGGCACGAGTGGTGCTTACACCCCGCGGTGTTTCGGCAACTGGAGCGCATGTTTGGACCGCACTCCATAGATCGGTTCGCGTCGTTTACGACGGCGCTCCTACCGGTCTACAACAGCCGCTTCGACGACCCGGGATCGGCTGGCGTGGATGCCCTCGGCCAATCCGACTGGGGCCAACACATGAACTTCGTCAATCCGCCATTCCGGCTCATTCCGCGCGTGCTGGATCTTGTAGAGGCGCAGCGGGCGGAGGCGACTCTCATCGCCCCGCTCTGGCCAGGGCAGCCGTGGATGACCAGGCTGAGGCGGCTGTGTGTCGCACCTCCCATCCGCCTGCCGCCGGTGAAGCGTACGTGTATGCCGGTGCTGCCGCTGCAGGTGATCGAGCCGCACCGGAACACCGCCTGGACCCTCTGTGCCTGGCGGATATCTGGCGCTCTCAGCTAGTCGAGCGCGGTTGGTCACCGGCTGCCAGCGATCAGCTGACTCTCTGCCTGGCAGAGTCGACACACGCAACATACGATCGCTATATTCGGGAGTGTTCCGATTTCTGCGCGTCTCGCGGTGTGCCTTTTCCGCCTACGGATTCCGCCCTTCTGGCCGATTTTTTGATGCAGAAAAGTCGTGCTTCCGACCGTCCTCAGTCCATGTTACGATGTTTGTCCGCGGCTTTGTCTTCCGTTTACGAGGCGTGTAACCTGCCTGTCCTGACCTCTGATCCATTCATTGTGCGTTTGTCAAATGCTATCGTGAAAAGTCGCACTCGTCTGCCCATGCAGCGCTCTCGTGTGATGGATGTCTCGGCGTTCACACGCATGTTCAGGGCGTGGCCAGCGAACAATGCTTTGTCTGTTAAACAGTTAAGGATGAAAACAATTACGTTGCTGGCTATCGCTCTGATGCTTCGGCCCTCTGATATCGCCCCTCAGGCGCGCACTTTTCACGCGGATTCCGGAGTGTCCTCGCGTTTCGTGATGTCTACTGACCAGATTACCTTTTGTTCGGACGGCTCGGTCAAAGTTTCGTTTTTAGGGATTAAGAACGATTTACACAGAACTGGTTTTGTTGTTACACTGCCGCCCGGAGCGGATGTATTCACTGACCCTGTAGACGCTCTGCGCTCGTACATAGCGAGCACTGACCGGTGGCGGTGCCCGGTCACGAAACCGCTGTTCATCGGGCTGCACCGCCCGTATGCGGCCATCTCTGCCAGCTCCGTCGCCCAAATTTTGGAGACAGCGATTAAGGCCGCTGAGTCCTTCGGCCTTCAGCCTGGACACCGGCCGAAAGATTTTCGTCCGACGGGGGCGACGGAGGCGATCAGACTTGGTGTCGCCGCCGACACAGTTCAGCAGCTCGGCCGATGGAAGACGAGATCGGTGTTTTTGAACCACTATGTTCACAGTCAGGTGCCAGGGTCGTTCACAGACGATCTTCTTCAGTAATTCTGATCTTGGTCTGATTTCTCGACGTCACATGGTTTTCTCTCTATGCGATTGCGTTCTATTCATTGTGTATCAATAAACATTCCTGGCGCCGAGTGCCTGCAACGTTGGTTTGCACAAATCGTAGTTGCGGCACTCGGTCGCCAGGGGCGCTAGTCCCGCGAGCGGCCTTGACCGCTCGCGGGCCGGCAGTTCGGTCCCGCTCTCGTTGCGTTATGATTGCCGTTAGCATTAGCATGTACGTTAGAATGATTAGCGTTAGCCGGACTTACGGAGAGTCGGATACCGGATAATTGCGTTCTATTCATTGTGTATCAATAAACATTCCTGGCGCCGAGTGCCTGCAACGTTGGTTTGCACAAATGGAGCTATTATGATATCGCTTGTATGATATCGCTACCCTCCATTTCGTCTGTGCACCCTCTGGAGACTAACGTCGCCGACTCGCCAAAGTGCCTTACTTGGCTCTGAACCCGTTTCCCGTAGCTTGATCGAATATTTTCTCTTCTGCATGAATTTCACTGATTTTCTTACTGCCAACTATTTTTCTAGTTATGATATTGGACGCGAAGTTATGGACGCCAAATGGCCCTTGTCGCCGAGGCATCCTAAAACTCATACCATCATCATCATACCCTCCATTCATTCTCCACGCAGCTCGGTTCCTTTGGCCCACATCGACTCCTGGGGCCTCTACTTCAGCTTTTAAGGGCTCGGGAACGATGAGCTCTGAGAGCCTCCAAAAGACTATCGGGCCCACGCTGATTTCTTAGACCCCTAACCAACTTCAAAATGACTTCCCAAAAAGGTAGCTAAAAGATCGCACTGTTCAAAATTTAAATGCTAAGACTGATGTGATTTTCGATTTTCATCACATTAGCCGGTTTTCTTTTGTCACAATCCTCTTGGTCACAATGTTACATATAACTGGACGAAATAGCCGTTTTCACGACGGCCATCTGGTACACATTTGGTGCACATCTGGTACAGATTAGGTACAGATTTGGTCAAATCAGGTTCAGTGTGTCTCTTAGCAGCTATCAGCTAGGGCTGCACTAATTGCTTATATGCCTGCTTTGTCATATTATCAGAGAGCATCATCGATTAAAACATTGAAATAAATTCATAAAATAAAGATATTTGCTGTAAAAGAAATTAGGTGCAGATTTGGTCACATCAGGTGCATTCGCCGGATAGCCCGTCGTGAAAACGGCTAATATGCATCTTTCGCAAACGATATTTTCACTTCGGTTGCCTTATTCTGGGAAATTCAACACCTTGTGATTATTAGCCCCAGTAGTCAAAATTCTTTAGCCGAGGCCATGAAGGACGGGAAAGATAAATATTATTTATTGCACTATGTTTATCCCTAAAGCCCACCTCTACTGTGTGTATCGTATCACGAGCAATGAGGTGATCAAAGTACCATGGGCCATGGCTATATATAGAAGCGATTAGCATCTTCATCTTCATTATCAGAGACATGCTATTAGAAGGAAAAAATTACTGCTTTCAATCTTGTGATGAAGCTGGTTATGTCGTCATCGGATTAGCATGAGCTTTTTCTAACAGATTCATTATAATTATGGCGCCATCGAAGCGTCACAAGTTGGTAAATTGAGGTGCATTTGGCAATTGTGTGGTGACTGACGGCTAGCGCTAGCTACATCTGATGTTGACCCTTCCAATTATCACAACTTACAAACATAAACATGGCATGCTTCATCTGACAGCAAGGAACCTTGCGTGATTTCTAAAAGGTTATCAAGCACATACGCAACATGCCTAGTCTGGGGAAACCTATATATGTAGTTTAGAATTCTAGAATTCCAAGAACACTAGCGATTTCGGTCGCAGGCCTTACCTCTACGGTCTATGTAATTACGGAGCGAGCGAAGCGAGCGTAGTCTTTCCTTAGATTAACGGAAATTTCTGAGTATGAGCGGCCGGCCGGCCGGCCGGCCGGCCGGCCGTGGTCACGCTTTTGCGAGGCTTATATCTCAGCAACCACTTGACCGATTTACATGCGGTAATTTTTGTAGGGTAGCTTCATTCCTTCTACCAAGTATTGCACTATTCCCGATGCATGTGGGTGACCCCTTATGCACGTGCCACGTGCAAAACGAAGAGGTGTCACTTTTGTAATTGTTGCAATATCTCTGTAACTACTTGGCCGATTGCGCTGAAAGTTGGCATGTAGGTAGGCACCCACTAGGCACTGCATATCCATGTGCCAGAGTTGGGGTGCTGCTGCACGTGCGCACGTGCAGGGGTCGTTTCCAGATCTCGAGAACGGCTGGACCGATGGCGCTCAAATTTGGTACACAGTTAGGGACCGGTTAGTAGGGCGCCGTGCACAAGTCAGTTGGGACCCATTTTGCACGTGCGCACGTGCAGAGTGCCGCTTCCAGATCTCGAGAACGGCTGGGCCGATTGTGCTCAAATTTGGCACATCGCTAGAGACCGGTTAGTAGGGTGCCGTGCACAAGTCAGCTGGAGGTACCCCCTCGAAATTTCGCACGTGCAAGGCTCACCCTCTCGCTCGCTCCGTTAGTCGCCCCAAAAGGCGTTATACTGGTTGTTATGTGTCCGGTGCAACTGGCATGTGGCTGCCTAAAAATGTAAGTGATTTCTACGAATATTGCTGCAGCACTTAATGCCATTTTCGTGTCAACCGAATATGTAAAGCTATAGATAGTTTATAGAGCTTGCAGAGACAGTCTTGACATGCTGTTGGCATACCTTCCTATTATGCATTGCATTTGCGGTGACTGGGAACGAACAGGGAAAAACAGTCAACTGCATATAGTAAATGGGTTGTAGGACAAACAATCAATCAATTTGTCATGGTACGTGCCTTGCAAGCAAATGGTATGCCTTCTGACGGTGCAGAGTAGCAGAAAGTATGGATGCATGAATACACAAGTGACACCGCTACCCACAGAAGATGCGCTCATGCATAAACATCACCAAAGTATTCCACATACAGTCCATCAATGAATCCAGAACACAGCACTGTACACACCACTGCACCCTCCACTGCACCCACCAGCGCACCCGTCACAGCAACCAACACCCAGCGGCCAACGCTGCACCCACAACTGCACTTAGTACCATTGATATTTAATAGCCGGAAGGCAGATGAAAAATGAACACCCGCTTTTGTTTTCCCATCCCCCTCTCTCTCTCTCTCTCTCCTCTCTCTCTCTCTCTCTACACTCTCCCTATCCCACCCCCTCTCTCGCCCTCCGTGAACTAACCGTACCCCCTCTCCCGTCCTCAACGCACCCATCCCGCATCATCGACCTCCCTCCAAGCCATGAATACTCTATCAGCCACGTGTCATCTGTAATATCACGAACTCATGGCGCTCTCTGCCTCGTCACGGCGAACCCCGTGAACTGACCCATCCCCTCTCTCCCGTGACCGGGTATAGAGGGAACAAACAGTCACAGGGTGCGGTCAACGGTCAGAAATCATTCGTCTTACCTGAATAGCCCGGCGCCGGCAGAGCGGCAAAAGCATGGGCGGCGACCAGACGGAGAGGTCACCAGAGGTCACCAGAGGTCACTAGAGGTCATCAGAGGTCACCAGAAGTCTTCAGATGTCGCCAGATGTCACGTCAGAGGTCTTCAGAGGTCCAGAGGTCACCAGAGTCTTCAGAGGTCGTCAGAGGTCGCCAGAGGTCGCTAGAGTCTTCAGAGATCGGCAGAGGTCATGGCAGGTCACCAGATGCCAGGGTGCAGAGGTCAGGTCACGATAGCTGGCTTGCTTGTCCGGCTGTGTTATTTATGCATATGTCTGTGTCTGTCTGTCTGTCTGTCTGTCTGTCTGTCTGTCTCGCAGCTGCCTGGTGTCCCTACAGCCGCACACTGTCAACATGCACCGGGTCAACCGGCCCCCGCTACCCGATACTGGCGGCTCCTGCGTGCATATTCCAGAGACCTACTTACCAGCCAATGAAGCGCGCTTTTCACCACTCATGAGGCGGAGCTACAGTGAGTTTGGTGATTGGTTAGCCGCTGACATACATACCGTAGAAGATGCAATAACAGATATGAAAAAGCTTTAGGAGGTTATATTCGAGGAAGAGGACAGGCATTATTTCACAGCGAGGCTGGAAAAAAATCAACCAGCGAGCTGAATCTAGGAGTTTCGCCAAGTGCAAAAGGCATACCGCAAGGATCAGGAGATATGGAGAGGTGTGTTTTTATATTTGTTCTCGGTATTTTAAACATAATTAGCATTACAGACGCTTACACCGAAGATCTATTTGGCGAGTGCGGAATGAAGTAAGCAGCCGAAAGGCAGCGCGGAAAAACTACTTCGCTTAAAATTAGCCGACAGTCACCCAAAAAGGTATTATGCGTGAAAGGTGAATTTACAAAAAGTCTAGCGATCAAAAAGAACGACAGACCAACGGTGGACGGTACGTAGACGGTACGGTACGACAACGGTAGGTAGACGGTAGGGGAGCTTGCCGTGTCACGGTTACCATGCCACAAGTCCGTGATTTTCACCATGCAAACTGGATCGCAACACACCCATTCAGGTATATCGACTTTTGTTTCGCGGGCACACTGACCCGCTTGCCGATATGATGATAGCTCATTCCTACCGAAGCAGCGTCCTGACCAGTCCTGACCAGTGACCAACTTCAGCTGTAGCCAGGCATTATCACGCATGCTGTCGTGACAGGGCCGGTGTTAGACAAATTCGGGCGGAGTAGAGGCTAAGTCAGCAGTGTGACTCGTGAATCGTAAGCAGTTTCTCCATATGTAATGTGACGATATCGGTGGCACTGGAGTTACTTCCGAATGCTGAGAGCATGGTGTACCGAGCAGCTGGAGGTCTGCAAATTTGTCGTCGACGACAACCAAATTTGTTTTCATTCTTTTTTAATACCCCACAGAGATTTCATTGGATGTTATGCATCAGTTGGAGCATGTAGGTAATCGTGTTATATAATAAAGTGATAATCAGTTGTTCATGCCCGCGTATGATATTTCTACAGCTCACAGGAAATAAAGCTGCCACGTTGTGAGGAGTGTGTCCCTGCGTTTCGTCGTTTATGTGAAAAAGGGAGTGCATAACTTTTTACGATTACCTAACTGTCTGTCGTGACATTTACAGCCTTTGTAGTCTATATTTAGAAAGCACGAGGAAGTCCCCCTACTTCTTTATCAGAACATGAGTGGGCAATTCAGTCAGGAGGAAAAATTGTGCATGACGAGATGCATCTTTAGCCGAGCGGGGAAGTCATTGCAGAAGGCATGTGGACATAACGCAATCACGGGCTGTGATTGATGCGAAGAACGCTGGTTGAGTGAGCGGAAAGTTGAACCTATGACGTCATACAAGTGGATGACGAACTGAGAACTCAGAGGCACAGGAAACTTTGCAAGCAACAGACGCCTATGACAGACGCGCCTTAGGAAGCCATTTGGAATATAAAATAGTACATTTAGACACAACCTTAGACGAATCAAATATCATCATTGTTTTCTGTCACATAATAAGCACAACAATTCGTTTGGCGATGGATGTCACGGATGAGAGCAATTCATCAATCACCTTCTCATCTCCATTTTTGTATTGGTCATCCCGTCCACCGTCTGGTGTCTCAGAATAGACCAACTCTGTTCAACAAAGGGTCCAATCATCAGCGGGGAAGAACCACCCGGAGATGGCGGTGCCAGTCGCGCCTCTGTTCCTCCCCCCCCCCGCCCCTCTCTCTCTCTCTCTCTCTCTCTCTCTCTCTCTCTCTCTTTCTCTCCTCTCCGGTCGTAGGCCACACAGAATGGTACAGCATGACGGGCACAAACTGCAACAAACAGCAACAACAAACGGCACATAAGTCGGGAGATGCATCGTGCATGAAAGCAACGGGCGGGGCTGAGGAGGTGATTACGAGACTGAACCTTCTCTGGGGCATATCAGTGTACAGCCCTCAGCAGACTGCGTGGTAGGTATTCTTTTTTCGACAAAACCGGTAATAACTCAAAGACTATGTGATCTGTCGGTCGGAATTCATTGCAAATAGAGGCGCCATGCTCCACTCCTTCGATTGGGTCTATCACTAAACAAAGTATATGCTTTGTGTGGCAACAAAATGCAACAGTTTGTTTTGGGGGCAAATATAAACTTTTAGATTTTGTTGCCAAACTGGATGGAAAATGAATACGATGGTAATGCATTGGTAATGTCCATCTAAGGTGCGGAGTCTCGCGCGTCTTGCTGTTACGATTTCCGAGTGACCGATAGCATAGTATCCGCGATATTCTCGGTTTTGTCGAAAAAGAATACCTACCACGCAGTTTGCAGAGGGCTGTACGTACTTCTAACAAATACAGACTCTCCCTGTCGAGGCCACTCCCTGGGGTCATAATTAACCCGCGCCCCGTAGGGCTATCGGCGGACCCTACCACCCGTTGGGGGGGGGGGGGCGTTTCGGCCCCCCTAAGATCTCAGAAATTTATCGGCCGATTTTTAAAATTCAAACGGCGTGCGATAGCCCCAGCGAGGAACTACCTTGTGACCAAATTTCATTGACCTAGGTCAAACTGATGACGTCACAGGTCAGGTCAAAGGCCGGATTTTCACCGTTCACAGGCATTTCAAGAAATGTGTTGTGAAATCGAGTAAATTGGTAATTTATTAAAAACCATCGATGGTACATTGTTCGTCAAACACATACTTTGCTATCTGAGGTCACTGATACCAGGGCAGGTCACAGCGAGGTCAGGTCACCGGGGGTCACAATATGAAAGTGTCGTGTGATGCATGTTTTATGGTCCATTTTACATGACAAATGCGATTATGTGGGTTAGGCAGTCTTTGGGGCCAGCCTAGGTCACGTTTTGGTGAAGAACGTGATCAGGTGAACGTGATCAGGATCTTGGTCAGGTCAACGTCAGGTCAAATTAGGTCAAATTTCTAAGTTGATATTTTTGCATAAAATGGGTATCGATGCGATGCAGCTCGTCACGGGGAGTCTAATGGTGGTCTTTGTTTTGCCGTACGTGGTCTAGAATTGCCAAAAATTGAGTTTGAGAATTTGACGTCATCATTTTTGAATAACTTTTTTTTTTCGCTATAACTTGGCCAAAAAACGAGGTATCGATCTGAAATTTGGTATGTAGATAGAAGACGGTAGGTACTATCACATATATTCCGTTTTTTTCGAAACTCAAAAAAACTTTTTGAATTTTTTGGCTAATATATAAAAAAAAATCTTTTTTGATTTTTGGGGGTCAAAACTCAAAAATTTCAAAAATCCGAGATTGTAGTTTTATAGCCCTGTCAATTCTACACCATTTATGTTCAATCATTTTTCTGTATCTTTAAAGCTGTAGGCCTGACAGGTATTCTCGCGAAGGTCTTTTTCGGTCGAAAATGACAGAACATGACGTCATTCTGACGTCACTTGTGGCCAACCTATCATAGCCTTTGGAAAAAAATTGATCACAATGTGTAAAATTGATGTCCGGAGGGGTCCTGAAAGTTTGGTGGCGATATATCCAGCCGTTTAGGAGATATCGACGGAAAAGGACAGGGGGGCGTTTCGCCCCCCCCCCCTACGGGGCGCGGGTTTTAAGTGCGGAGGGCGTATGTTAAAATGTAGTATAAAAAGAGCATGGTCGTGAAAAAGCATCACCTAGCCCAACCTAATGCCAGCTCTTACTTAACCTAATGAAACCTAAGCTTATCATTTTTCACTAGATTGTGTTCTTCATGCCAGATGTTACTTCATACAGGACATATTGCGTGCTGATAGTTAGATAGGTGTACATATATGTTACGGGCAATGTGTGGAATCGCATTCTATTGAATGCCTGACCGACCAGGCATTCTATAGAATTTCTAGGTATTATTCAGATTGCCTGAGCCACCAGGCATTCTATAGAATGCCTAGGAAATACACTTATCTTTCCAACAAATTAGTGCATGTTGTATACGATTATGAGCACAGACCGATATGTAACATTATTATTTTCTGCCAGGCTACCTTGCGGTCAGCTTTTTATGTTAATTCAGTGCAAATGTTCATTCAGTCATTCATGTTTATTCAGTCAAATTTTCCGGTCAGGTATTCAATAAGTTGTCCGTGCGTGCCTGCGACTGTCATGCCTTATGTGTCTTAATGCGCCGGAACGACGCCGCGTATCGGCGTGAAATTTGGCATGCCAAATCTGTGGGTGTGGGGGGCCTTAGTATTAAAATTTGGTGGTGATCATCCCGGGGGTGCGCCGTCAGCACGCGCTCGCGTGCGCCATAGGGTTTACACGGGAAACGGCCAAATCGACGATCGGGCGAAAACCGGCCTGCGGCGACCGCTTCCCGGCTGTATAAATCGGCAACGGAGGGTCGCAGCGAGAAGTGGTTGTCACCACTGGATAGAGGAGAGATGGAACTAGCGTATTGACATGGTTTCATAGTATAGCACGCGCCACGTGCAAGACAGCACCCCCGGTTGTAAAAAAATGACCGATTTCGTGAATTGTGGGAAGAAAACCGATGCCGCTGGAAAACGGCTAGACGGAATGAAATCGGTGTGGTGCCATTTTGCAGGCAAATGTACGTGCAATCAGAGGAAAGCAGATAAAAAGTGATGATCCGTGCCATTTCCTTAATAATGAAACTTTTATTTGAAAATTTCCTTCGCGCGGAGCGCGTTGTCCTTTACAACATCAAAACGTATTGAAAACGCTGATCATTGGCTATGAAACCTACATATTCGGAAAGAGCATTCTTTTCTGACCAATATCCATCCAAAATATTATCGGAGAGTCAATAAACTTTTGTGAAAATGACTCAAGCATACGACCGCGTTTTGTTAACGTTACAGGTATTTTTCGACAA